CCGTGGGCCCTCCCTGCCGAGTTAGGAACCACCAGCACGCTCAGCGGAGGGACCTAATAACCATGTGACCAGAGGAGCCATCAGGGAAGGGAAGGGAACTGGAGCTGGGCTGCAGAGAACGAGTTCTTTTTTTTTTTTTTATAAATTTATTCATTTTATTTATTTATTTTTGGCTGCGTTGGGTCTTCGTTGCTGTGGGCTTTCTCTAGTTGCAGCGAGTGGGGGCTATTCTTCGTTGCGGTGTGTGGGCTTCTCATTGCGGTGGCTTCTCTTGCTGCAGAACATGGGCTCTAGGCTCGCGGGCTTCAGTAGTTGCGGCACGTGGGCTCAGTAGTTGTGGCACGCGGGCTCAGTAGTTGTGGCTTACGGGCTCTAGAGCACAGGCTCAGTAGTTGTGACGCGCGGGCTTAGTTGCTCCACGGCATGTGGGATCTTCCCAGACCAGGGCTCGAACCCGCGTCCCCTGCATTGGCAGGCGTATTCTTAACCACTGCGCTACCTGGGAAGTCCCAAGAATGAGTTCTTTGCAAAGAAGCAACTCAGGAATGGAAGAGTGGTCCAGGCTGAGGGGGTGTCACTTAGGCCAAGGCCTGATGGTAGGCACATGCCTGTTGTCTTCAGAGGGAAGGGAGCCAGGCTGCCTGGGTGCCCTGACCTCGCTCGCGCCCACAGGCCTCGGAACTGCTGCGGGAGCTGTGCCGGAAGAATATGGTGTGGAAGTACTGCCGGAGCATCAGCCCTGAGTGGAAGCAGCAGGTATGGGGCTGGGAGGCAGACATTGGGGGACTAGCCAGGGGGACACTCGAAGAGTGCTGGCCTGGAGGACCTTCACCCCAACTTACCACGTGCCCTCAAATGGATCCCAGCCCGTTTGGCCTCACGTATGAAGCCGAGGCTGGAGTAGATTTTGCACGGCAAATAGGGCTTATCTTCTAGACCAGCTCCGCTGGCCTGGTAGAGGCTGCCCAGAGCCCTGTGTTGAAAAGGCTGCAGCTTGAGTCTGATAGAATAAGAATAGTTCCAGAGAGAGGCATTGGTGGCTGACATGCCTGTATTTGCCAACTCAGTATAGGATGATGCTAAAGGACGCACGCAGCAGAATTAACCTGCAGTAGTGGTTTTTTAAAAATTTTTAAAATTTTTTTGGCCGTACCTTGTGGCACGCAGGATCTTAGTTCCCCAACCAAGGATCGAACCTGTGCCCCCTGCAGTGGAAGCACAGAGTCTTAACCACTGCAGTGCCAGGGAAATCCCAACCTGTAGTAGTTCTTTGAGTATTAGCAACCAGCCAGATCCCAGGCCGGAGCTTTATCCCAGGGGTTCCAAGGCCTGCTGTGATGGGGAATTATCCCCAAAGTGGGGCCTGAACCCTGACAGTACTGTCTGTCATGACCCTTCTGAGGAGCCCGTGCCTTGGTCAGTGGGGATGGGGGTAAGGGAGAGAAGGGGCTAAAGGGGAGTGTTGGTGGCAGGGCTTAGCCTCTGGTGCTGGGGCCAGAGAGAGGGTGAGGGAAGCTGTCTCAGTTCCTGAGGCTGGGCCTGTCCCTGCTGTGATGGTCGCCATCCCTCTGACAGCCCCCCTCCCTGCCCTTGTCTCCTCAGCTGCAGCAGAAAGCCGTGGCTAGTGAGATCTTCAAGGGCAAGAAGGACAATTACCCCCAGAGTGTCCCCAGGCTCTTCATCAGCACACGGCTTGGTGAGCCCGACTTTCCAGTGTGTAAGCCCTCCATCACCATCCTAGTCCCCCCTCTTCTCCTCTCACCTCCCCCTCCCCCATCTGGGTTGCAGGCGCAGATGAGATCAGCCCCAAAGTGCTGCAGGCCCTGGGCTCTGAGCCCATCCAGGTGAGACGCTGCCTGCCGGCCACCCTCAATCGCAAACAGTTCTGCTGCCCGAGGACTGGGTGGGGGAGTCAGGGCCTGGGCAGAGGGTGAGGAGGCCCCTCAGTCACCCTCTGTCCCCAGTACGCGGTGCCCGTCGTGAAATATGACCGCAAGGGCTACAAGCCCCGCTCGCGGCAGCTGCTGCTGACGCCCAACGCCGTGGTCATTGTGGAGGATGCCAAAGTCAAGCAGAGGATTGAGTACGCCAACCTGACCGGTGAGCCGGAGTCCAGGGCTGGGTGGGGAGGGCCCCTGCTCTGACCCTTGATCCCTGACCTCTGCCCTTCCGCCTCAGGAATCTCCGTCAGCAGCCTGAGCGACAGCCTCTTTGTGCTCCACGTGCAGCGTGAGGACAATAAGCAGAAGGTGCCCCTCGGGGGACTGGGAGGCGGCGGGGGTCGGGGGGGTGGGGGGTGCTTCTCTAGCTCTGGGCAGGGCCTGACCCCTGACCCCATCTGGGCCCCCAGGGGGACGTGGTGCTGCAGAGTGACCATGTGATTGAGACACTGACCAAGACAGCCCTCAGCGCCGACCGCGTGAATAACATCAACATCAACCAGGGCAGGTGAGGCGGGGAGGGGCGGGGAGGGGGCTGTGCGTGCGTGGGGCGGGCGGGCCTCACGCACCACCTTCCCTCCAGCATCACGTTCGCAGGGGGTCCCGGCAGGGATGGCATCATCGACTTCACGACCGGCTCAGAGCTGCTCGTCACCAAGGCCAAGAACGGGCACCTGGCTGTGGTGAGTGGGGCCCGGCAGCAGCACCCTGCCTCCCGCTGAGGGCCCTGGGGCCAGGGCAGAGCCTCTGGTGGCCGAGCCTTCCAACCTGAGCAGTGCTGGGCAGAGCCTGGGCGCCTCGCCGTGGGTCCTTTGAGCTCCCACAGTGCAGAGGGTCATAAACATGGCAGCGCAGGGGCGGGGGGGATCGGGGGGGTGAGAGTGTGCTGGGGGGGAGGGGAGGCCCGCTCTGGCCAGGGCAGTGGCTCCCGTGGGAATAGGGTTGGAGTCTCCAGCGCCAAGGCCTCTAGACCACGCCCCCAGCTTGTCCCCGCGCGCTGTGACATATCTAAGCCGTGAAGACAAGTGCTCGAAGCACCTCTGCTTCCTGCTCACCACCTGGGCTTCTCCCCCGTCCCACAGGTGGCCCCACGGCTGAACTCTCGGTGATGAAGGCACCCACTGGACCCCCCTCCCGCCTCCCAGTGCTTTGCTCATCCCCTTCTCCCCTTCTCAGTTACCAAAGACTCGAGCTTCCAGACAGGGACCCAGGGACACCTTGAAGCCCACCAACAAACTCCTGCCTGCCGCTCGCCCCTCTCTCGAGGGAGCAGCAGGGACCAGGGAGCTGCCCCAGGAGTGGGCCAGGCCGGGCCACAGCAATAGGAAAGCCGGGGCCAGAGGCAGCCACGCCAGCCCCACTGCCAATGCCAAATATTTGAGAGAAGGGAACTTTTGCTGAGGTTTTCTCTGAGATTTTTTGATGCTTTATAGGAAACTATTTTTTAAAAAAGCCATCTTCCCACCCCCAAGACACACTGGATGTGTTTTCCCTGACTCCAGCAGGGCAGGGAATGGAGCTGAGAGGGTGGGCGGTCTGGGCCTTGGTGCCCTCTTCCCTGCCCAGGCCACCCTCTCCTCCTCATTTCCTTGGCACCTTGTCTGTCTGCCTGCCCACCTGTAGCCCACTCCAACATCCCCCTGGGGGCTGAGACCACCCTTGCCTGCCCCCTCCTTCCTGCCTTAAAAATGCCCTTCTAATATCATCCCAGCCTGAGGGCATCCTGGAGTAGGGACAGGACCCCTAGAGCATAGAATTTGGACGACTCTGAGAGATCACCTAGTCTAGTCTCCTGGTGTGACGAGCAAGAGACAGAGGCCCAGAGAGGGGAAGGGACTTGCCCAAGGTCATCCAGCAGGTTGGGGCAAAACCAGACTGCAACCCTGTCCTCAGCACACCTCACTGCCTCTCCCAGGGATGGGGGCCCCGTGAAACAGGCTCATACCTTAAGGGTGCATGTGGCTTCCTGACCAGCAATCACCCTTGGGGGCCACCAGGTGGGAGGAGCTCTCCTGCCTGAGTCCATGCCTTAGGATGACAAACACCCTGCCCATATACTTTGGCCCCAATTCAAGGACATAGGGCCTTTACTGGCCCCTAACCCCCCTCCCTATCCTGGGAGCCTGGGGAAGGGGCCGGCCTTGGGAGGAGCTGCAGGGGCGTCACCTCTATCTGCTGCTTCTCCCCCTCCCCCCCAACCTCCCCAGAGGGGCTGGGGGACTGCCCAGCTGCCTCTGCCCTCCTGGGGGGGTCTCAGCCCACTGCTGACACTTCTGCAATCCAGAGAAACACTAAATAAAGCAATACGTGTTTGCCAACTTTGGTCTCCTTGTGAATGTTAGAAAAGGGAAGACTTCCCTGGTGGCGCAGCGGTTAAGAATCCGCCTGCCAGTGCAGGGGACACGGGTTCGATCCCTGGTCTGGGAAGATACCACATGCCGCGGAGCAACTAAGCCCATGAGCCACAACTACTGAGCCCACGTGCCTAGAGCCCGTGCTCCGCAACAAGAGAAGCCACTGCAATGAGAAGCCCGCGCACCGCAGCGAAGAGCAGCCCCCACTCGCCGCAACTAGAGAAAGCCCGCGTGCAGCAACAAAGACCCAACACGGCCAAAAACTAAAAAATTAATTAAGAAAAAAAAAAGGGAGAGGACCCCTAGAAGGCAGCCAGGGGTCTTGTATTATAATTTTTGCCTTATGCCCAGAAGGAAGGAGGCTGGGCTCCCTCCCTGGGGGAAAGAGTAGGAGTGACCAGTAGCTGCAACATGGCCTCCCTCTTTCATTGACTGTCCATGGAAAGGCCACTCAGCCTGGCCCAGTGCTGTGGCGGAGGGCGGGTCGTCACACAGTCCCTGCCGTGTGGTCCTCAGCCTGGCAGGCAGGCCTAGTGAATGGAAACAGCCCAGTGTGGGAAGTACAGGCATCAAGGGCACAGTGACAAGAGATTGACTCAGGTGGGGATGAGGGTTGCTGACACTTCAGAGAAGAAAACATTTGAAGTGGGTCTCAAAGGGTAATCTCCAAACTCCACTGCAAGTGACAAACCCAATTCAAACTGGCTTAAACAGAAAAGGACATTTATTAGCATTAGCAGCTTAACAGTTCCAGGGTAGGGCTCCTTCCAGGCACTCACTATCAGGAATGTGTCTGGAACCATCTTGGCTCAGCCTTCCTGGGTGGTGGCTTCATTCTCAGGCAGGTTCTCCACTCGTGTAGTGGCGGCAGCAGCTACGGGCAGCTCCAGGCTTGCATTCTGTAATTCAGCATCGGAAGCAGAGAAAGAAAGTGCCTCTTTCCCAGTGATTCCAAAGTCTCAGCTGATTCTCAGTGGAGCAGCTTGAATGAGGTGCTCTTCCCTGACCCGGTCCGTGTAGTGAGGGAGAAGAGCTCATTCTGATATATGCCTGCCGGGCCTGGGTCATCTGCCTGCTCCCCGCCAGGCAGAAGCAGGAACCACACCTGATTGCAAGGACCAGGACTGCGAACGGATAATTTCCCCCCAATCAGAGTGCTGCCTGCAGAAGAAAGGGAGTAAGTGTTGCAATCTGCAACCACAGAGCTCCTCGGCAGACTAAGAGTTTTCCCAAAAGAGAAGCGCCTTGTAGGTAGAAGGAATGGCAGGTGCAAGGCTTAAAGGCAAGGAGAGGTTTAGTTTGGAGTCAGGCTACCTGCCAAGGGGTTTAGATTCATCACCTAGGACAGAAGTTCCCAAAGAACAGATACCACGTCATGTATGACTTATCTTGGGTTTGGCACAATCCTGTGAACACACCTAGATTGGACACCTCCCTGCGAATTAAGTTAAAGAAAAATGAAAGCACCACAATAATTTGTTCACTCTGTCAGTAGTAACTGCGGTTCCAAGAAGCTGACACCAAGAAGCCGACAGATAAGATAAGCATTGTGATAGGTGCAATTACCAGCTTTACAACTGTGACAACACGCCTTCCTCTAGCAAGTTGGAGCACATGTGAGAGTGACGCCCCAGACATAGCCCAGATGCAGCCGAGGACACGTCCTTTTGAGAAGTAACCAAGAATGCTTTGCACCCCTTGCTCACCTCCTGTGGGAAGTGCAGTGCCCTCCAGGAGATACCTGACAATTACAGGAAGCTAACTTTGAACAAGTGCCTCCACTGGACTCTCCTTTCATTCATTTCATCATTCGACCAATATTCACTTAATGCCTATATGCCAGGCTCTCTGCCAGGCACTTGAGATATAGCAGGAGCAAAAAGACCAAAATCCTTGCTCTTACGGAGCTTGCATTCTAGAGGGGAAGAAAGGACAACGCATGGAACAGATCTGTAAAATTAGAAGGGGATAAGTGCAAGGAAACTCAAGCAGAGAAGGGGGAGTGGGAGAGTTGAGTGTGCAGTTTGCAGTGTCAAATGGGCGGGTGAGGGAAGGTCTCCCTGAAGAGGCAACGTTGGAGCAGAGACCTGAAGGAGGTCTCTGAGGGAGTGACTGTGGAGATCCGGGCAGACGGAACAGCAAGTCAAAGCATGGAGGAAGAGGATGGTTAGTGGGACCAGAGAGGAGTGGGCAGGAGGAGAAGAGGAGAAGATAGGCGTACTTGCATCTCTCCGCCTTCAGATGTTCTCGATTTTTCTCAGCTCCACAAGGACAGAGACAAGGAAGTTGGCACCACCCTCTCCTTTCTTTTCTTTTTTTTTTTTTTTTTGGCTGCACCGTGTGGCATGCAAGATCTTAGTTCCCCTGCAGTGGAAGTACAGAGCTCTAACCGCTGGACCACCAGGGAATTCCCAGGCACCTTCTCCTTGTTTCCTCCCTGCAAAAAGCATCTGTGTGAGCAGCTCTCCTAAAGGATGGGGCAATCAGGGGGAATTACATCGTAGCAAAGCAGACAAATGATTCTCAAAAGCCCTGCAGCACGTCACCCCTGGGAACATCTCACTGACCTTTCTAGGAAGGTCCCATCTCCTGCCTTGGTTCCCAGCATGCTCTCCTCCCCTCCACCTGCCTTGCAATCCCCTCACTTTTCTCCCCAGAGCTTTCCCCTAGTGTCTGCCTCCAGACCCTACCTTTGTACATCTTTAGACAGGTCCTGGTCTCTGCAAAACTATGGGCTACCCACTGGGGGTGGGGCATCTCTCTTCTTCATTATCCAGAAACTCCAGCAGAGACTTGGAAATTTTTCTGTCTCCTTTCTCTCTCCTCGTCTCCATCCATGGATGAAAACTGGGCAGAAGTGTACTTTCCCACCAACACCAATGGTGCCTATACACCCACCAACTTTTGTCTCTCCCTTTCTCTCTCACACACACTTTGCAATATGTGTCAGTTTTCTCTCTAAATAGCAATTGTTGTCATCTTCATAAATAATCTTTTTTTTTTAAAGGAAAAGCGAGTGTGAGTAGCCCAACTCCAGAGGGCTTCATTTACTTAGTACCCTGGAGTTGTGCAGCACATGACTTGCACAGATGTACGAGGCAGTTTTCATCATCTTAGGAGACATAGGCAGGAAAATAGGTCCTTGCACCTCTGCTCCTCGTCCTTTGCTAAAATAAGAAATGTGGGACTTCCCTGGTGGCGCAGTGGTTAAGAATCCGCCTGCCAGTGCAGGGGACACGGGTTCGAGCCCTGGTCCGGGAAGATCCCACATGCCGTGGAGCAACTAAGCCCGTGAGCCACAACTACTGAGCCCGTGTGCCGCAACTAGTGAGGCTGCGCTCTAGAGCCCGTGTACCACAGCTACTGAAGCCCGCGCACCTACAGCCCGTGCTCCACAACAAGAGAAGCCACCGCAATGAGAAGCCTGTGCACCGCAATGAAGAGTAGCCCCCACTCAACGCAATTAGAGAAAGCCCGCCTGAGCGCAGCAGCAGACCCAACTCAGCCTAAATAAATAAATTTATTTTAAAAATAAATAAAATAAGGAATGCCTTTCTTCTCCTTTTTTTTTTTTTTTTTGCCACACCGCTTGTGGATCTTAGTTCCCCAACCAGGGATTGAACTGCCCTCGGTAGTGAAAGCACGGAGTCCTAACCTCTGGACCGACAGGGAATTCCCAGGAATGCCTTTCTTTGGTTAGATGGGAGGGAGTAGAGGACTTTGATGTGATTTTCTCTTGAACAGGGAAGCCTTCCCTTTCTTTTCTCCTTTCGTCTCTGCTTCTCCGTCAGGCAACTCCAGGAGCATCTTCCTAAACAAGAAGGTCACATTCTTTACATTCTTTGAAGGGCAGATCTCAGGCTTATCAGGGGCCAAAAGCCACCATTATTAGCTGTAAATCCTTATGTATGAAGGGGAGAGGAGGAGAAGAGAAAGGAGGAAGGGGCAGAGGGGCTTGCCTTCTTCTTGTCCCAAGGCCATTCCTGTTCCCACCTTGTTGGCCTCTGCATTTATAGGTTCTCTGTGCTCCAAGGAAGAACACACTTGAATAGCTGCTTGGTGCTGGGTATCCCCTCCTTTCCTATCTCCTTGCTTACTTTCCAGCTTAGTTATGATTTGTTCTCTCCTCCCTCTCTCTGTCTTCTCTTTCTCTCTTTGTTTCTTTCCTTCCTTCCTTTCTTTCTTTCTCCCTCACCCCCTCTTTCTTTTCTTTTCTTTTAAGGTATTTTCTTCTGTCATGTCCATGTGCCCCAGAGAGGGGGCTTAGAGGCATGGCTTCAGATCCCCATAGGCAGGACCTTACCCAGTCATCCTGGGGAAATGAAGAGCAGGCATGTCTCTTTCCCAAAGGACCAGAATTCACCCTGGGCTGGCTTCTTCTGCTGGCTTGTGGTGACATGCTGTGACTAAGCCAGGGTCATGATGAATCACCCACAGCAGGGAAGTTATCCTTGCTCCCCAACCCTTTCCAGAGTAGGCCCAGGGGTGTGTGAAGTGGGTCTGGAATAGGTGTGTTATTCATATAAGACCATAAAACCCAGGGCTGACTGATTAAAAAATCTATTTCTGCCATCCTTTCCCCACCCCCATCTCTTGCCATTCCTATCCCAGAAGCCTGAGGATAGAGCAGAGTGACCATAGTTCTCTTCTCCTCCCAGGATTTGAATCCCGGCTCCCAACTCAGTGGCTATGTGTATCTGGACAAGTCACCTAACTCTCTGGCTTCATCTGTAGAATGGGACCAACCCATAAGGTTGTTGAGAGGATTAAAAGAAATGATCTATCTAAGGGCAGTTAGCTCTATGTCTGGCAAGTAGTATTCCCTGAATAAATGTTAGCTGTTTTTTTTTAAATTTATTTATTTGCTTTTTTTTTTTTTTTTTTTGGCTGTGTTGGGTCTTCATTGCTCTGTGCCGACTTTCTCTAGTTGCGGCAAGTGGGGGCTACTCTTTGTTGCAGTGCGTGGGCTTCTCATTGTGGTGGCTTCTCTTGTTGCGGAGCACGGGCTCTAGGCGCACGGGCTTCAGTAGTTGTGGCACTCAGGCTCAGTAGTTCTGGCTCACAGGCTCTAGAGCGCAGGTCAGTAGTTGTGGCGCACGGGCTTAGTTGCTCCACGGCATGTGGGATCTTCCTGTACCAGGACTCGAACCCATGTCCCCTGCACTGGCAGGCGGACTCTTAACCACTGCGCCACCAGGGAAGCCCTGTTAGCTGTTATTATGAAATGATTATGGAGTGTGTCCTACACTAGATGCCTGGCCTTTGAGGAGATCTAGCATGGAATGCAGACGTGTAAATGAAAGATTACAGTATAAGAGGTAAGAACTCTAATAGAGATAATATGGACATTGTGCTGTAGATGCAGAGAGGGAGTGATGTGATGGTCAAGAAAGGGGAGGCATTTGAGTTTGAGATCCCAAAAGGAGTGAAGGGTATTCCAGAAAGAAGAAACACAAGATTCATGTAGGAGCGGTGAAGATGAGACTGTGGCCTGGTTTCATACTGTGAGATAAACTGTGAGTTCTAACACCTGGAGACTGTTAAAAGTTTTACACAGGGTAGCAGCAGACTCAGAGCTATAATTTAGAAAGTGCAAACTGGCAGATGTGTGTTATGCGATTAGGGGCAGCAAGAGTATAGAACACCAGTGAGCAGGCTGTCACAGGAATACAGATATAGATATGGGATGCAGAGATAGAAATGATCTTGATGGCAGGGAAAGCAGAGAATACCCATGACCACAATTAGAGTTTAGAGGATCTGGGCAGATGACTGCGAGCCTCAACGGAGAGGAGAACTCCATACTTCCACCTGGCTTGGCACACTCTGTTCCCTTTGTCTTGAATGCTCTTCCCCGATTGCCATTCAATATTCAGCTCAAGCCACCTCCTCTGGGAAGCCCTCTTGGATTCCTCTACAGAGTGGATTAGGGGGCCCTGCTCTGTATTCCTAGAGCCCCTTGTCCCTTCCCCATCGTGTCACTTGTTATTCCTTCGTCATTGACTGTTTCCTGGTTCCTCCTACTGTTCTGAGAATTCGGTGAGGAAAGGGCCCAGCCTTGATGACCTTTGCACCAGCAGGACAAATGTGGTCAACTGTTTGCTGAATGAATCAATGAAAACAAGAACTTTAGCAGGCCTGGGGAGAAGCTGGAGGAACCATCAGAAAAAGACTGTCTCAGGGAACTCAGGCCCTGGGGCCACATCACCTTTTTACTCTAATTTTGTCTCCTAGTCACTGCCTAGAAACCTGGGCCTTCCAGGAACTTGAAACCCGGAGAAGCGAAGAACCGTGTGGCCAACAGTGGACTCGTAGCGGAGGCCCCGCCCCTCGGCCTTAGACTCCGCCTCTCCACCCTCTGCAGTCCCGATCCCCGCCACGCGACGACGCCCAAGAGGTCGCATGCGCAGTGCGCTCAAGAGCTGTGCCTTGCCCTTCTCCCAATGGCGGGCCGCGGTCCCCTTCCCGGCATCCTCCCAGGGACAGGGAGCGCGTCATTTCCGGTGGGGAAGGCCCGCGGCCTCCGCCGCCATTTCGGGCGCTGCTGAGAGGCTGAGACCCGAGCCGGTCCGCTGGGCGGCGGGCGCCGGGGCTGGAGGGGCGCGCGCGGCGGCGGCGGCCCAGCGTGTAGGCGCGGAGGCGGCCATGGCAGGCAACTTCGACTCGGAGGAGCGGAGTAGCTGGTACTGGGGGCGGCTGAGTCGGCAGGAGGCGGTGGCGCTGTTGCAGGGCCAGCGGCACGGGGTGTTCCTGGTGCGGGACTCGAGCACCAGCCCCGGGGACTATGTGCTCAGCGTCTCCGAGAACTCGCGCGTCTCCCACTACATCATCAACAGCAGCGGCCCGCGCCCGCCGGTGCCACCGTCGCCCGCCCAGCCTCCGCCCGGTGAGGGACGGACGGGACGGGAGGCCCCGGGTGGGGGTGAGGGCCGCGTAACTCCCCAGCCTGGCCGGCTGCTCCTCGAGAGCTGACTCCCACGAGGGACGTAGGCAGAGGGCCGGAGTGACCGTGGCCCGGGGGACAGCCAGCTGCCGGGGCTCGCTCCCACGGACGAGCGGGAGTGTGTGGGGGAGGAGGAGCCGCTGACCCAGGCCTCTGGGTGTGACTTGGGAGGACAGCCCAGGGGAAGGGGAACTGCTTCGGCCCCAGGGTGGGGCTAGCGCCAGAGCAGGGCCGAGCAACGTGGGGACAAAAGAGCTGAGGGGGATGTTGGCACTGCGGGGGCATCACTTGGCAGCGGTGCCCGGAATGAATCCGATAATCCTACAAGTGGCTTTTTAGGCTTGAAACATTTCCTGCAGTGTTGGAGAGCCGGGTTTGGCCATACTCCCCTGGTGGCCTTTGGTAGGAAGTCACCGCATACTGGCCGGGAGGGATGGAGACACCCTCAGGAAACCGGTCAGCTTTTTCCTTTCTTGGGCATTTTTCCAAAATACTTTTACCGTCCTCTTCCCCCGCGGAGGACGAAGGTGGTGAGCTAAGTGCCTTGGTTATAAAAGAAAGGCCTCTGTGACCAGCCCAGAATAAGCTGATGACCGGCTGACTGTGTTCAAGAGATCTTAGCGTCCAGAGACTGTCCTCCACAATGAGGGGGTTCTAGTTTTCAAAGCGATTAGTGGAGGAAAGATTTTTTTTCAGGAAATAATTCAGAAATAAGACAGTGGAGACAATCCCTTCCCTGAAAGTGAATGGAACTTCATTTTTTTCTTGGACCTCAGCATTGTCTGTCTTGTACTCCAGGGCCTCTCCTTGTTCAGTAACTTTGAGGGCTGTGGCCTGAGTCTTCCTAGATGTTGGGAACAGACCCTGCTGAGCTGATTCTCTGAGAATTTAAATTATCTGTACCGGATCTTCCTTGCCAGAGATTGAGATGTGACTCTCTTACCCATGCCATTGGAGTTGTTTGGGGAGTATTAAGGAGATTTAGGCACTTAGTACTTGAGATTTGTGAGGTACAGAGTAATTCTGAGGTTGCTGTTATCTGTGTAACAGCACCAAGAGTCTTAGCACCTTCTCACTGTTCCCAAGTTGAAGCAGGTTCATCCTGACCAGCTGAGACGAGATCCAGGCCAATCTCCTGTGAATTAGGAGGCTCCTGAACCAGCCTTTGCAGACTTGCCCTTTTAGGAGAGTCCTAATTTAGATTTATTCACTCTGGCCAGAAATGGGGAGATGGGGTAGTCTCTTTGTTGTTAACACATACCAATTTTAAAAAGAGAGTGGAGATTTTTTTTTAACTTTTTTTTCTTTTTAATAAATTTATTTATGTGTTTGTTTGTTTGTTTATTTTGGGGTGTGTTGGGTCTTCGTTGCTGTGTGCGGGCTTTCTCTAGTTGCGGTGAGCAGGGGCTACTCTTCGTTGCGGTGCACAGGCTTCTCATTGTGGTGGCTTCTCTTGTTGCGGAGCACCAGCTCTAGGTGTGTGGGCTTCAGTAGTTGTGGCACGCGGGCTCAGTAGTTGTGTCTCACGGGTTCTAGAGCGCAAGCTCAGTAGTTGTGGCACACGGGCTTAGCTGCTCTGCAGCATGTGAGATCTTCCCAGACCAGGGCTCAAACCCATGTTCTCTGCATTGGCAGGCGGATACTTAACCACTGCGCCACCAGGGAAGTCCCAAGCGTGGGGATATTTAAGCCCACAGTTATCTGAGGTTTTTCTCAGTCTGGTTGGTTTAATAGCATTATAACATGAGATGGGAATATTTTTGTATTTACCCTAAATCAAATATGTTCTACTTTTTACCACCTTCATGGTGTTTAGGGTTTTGCATTACTGTGCAGTGACATGATGGCAAACGGTCCCTGAAACTCAATTCTCAACACTTTGTTTGTGTATGTGTTTTGTTGGTTGCAGAATGTGGAAATAGCAGCAGGCAGTTTTATTTGAGCTTTCCCCACATCTTGGTGTTACAACTTTAATCTCAGCTCTTACCTTAATATTGAGCTCCACCTTTTCATAACAGATATGAGGTCAGATCCTTGGCCCAAGAGAGAAGGTGTGGATTGCTAAAGTTTGTGCATGGGGTGTGGAAAGTTCATGGGCATTGTGGTCATTTTTCTTTCTGCCATGTACCCTATTTTCCACATAGGGCAATTGATTCAGTTGCTGTCTTTATAAAAACTATTTAGTCTCTGTTCTCCCCCTCCCCGTCCAGCTCTTATTCTTTTGAAACCACACAGAAGAATTTCTTGAATTTTAGAAAGGCATATACAATATTAATAGCTAACATTTATTGACTGGTTATTCTATGCCAGGCAGTTTGCTGAATACTTTTTTTTTTTTTTTTTTTGCGGTACGCGGGCCTCTCACTGTTGTGGCCTCTGCCGTTGCGGAGCACAGGCTCCAGACGCGCAGGCTCAGCGGCCATGGCTCACGGGCCCAGCCGCTCCGCGGCATGTGGGATCCTCCCGGACCGGGGCTCGAACCTGTGTCCCCTGCATCGGCAGGTGGACTCCCAGCCACTCCGCCACCAGGGAAGCCCCCCCCTTTTTTTTTTTTTCTTCTGAATACTTTATGTGCCTTGTCTCATTTACTGTCTATAACGATCTAGTGAGGAAAGTACTATGATCTCCACTTATTAAAATATTTCCATTTTATAGGTGAGGAGACTGAGAGAGATAAAGTAA